TACTTGAAAAGTGTTTGCCCAGCGTCTGAGTGAATGTGTTACTACCTTGCCCTGCTTTCTTCACAGGAGATTGACCTTTTGTCTTTTTGCCGCGTTCTTCTCTGGGGGAACGTGGGGTTAACTGGCCTTGTTCCCAACCCACTCATAGGAAAAGCCTGGCTCCACACCGCCTGGTTGAAAGCAGGACCGGGACCGGTCATTTGGCAGCAGTGTCCGCTGTGGCCAGCGGGGGAGGGAAGGCCACCAGGGCCAGTGTGCAAACTCAAAAATAAAAAGTCTGTTTACATCCGATGCATTGACTTACCCAGTGGAAGGCAGCTAGTTGTCCTCTAGCCAATACGATGACTTCATCACTGTCAGTTTTCCTTGTGTCTCTCAAGTTCTGATGCGTGCACCTGACACACGAGTGCATGCCCGGCGCAGGGCAGGCGTGAGGCGTCGCGGACAGCAGGAGGGAGACGGGCGCGGTGCAAGCCCTTGAGCGTGCAGCCGGGACAGCAGACAGGTGGCACTGACTGGGACATAATTACACAGGACGAGTAAAATCAGAGCGCGTGAACGGGGCTGTGAATTTGCTCCTATTTCTGCGTTGCTTGATTGACTAAGACATGGTGGCCTCAAATACATGCTGGCTTAAGCCATTTTCAGCTGTATGTTATTTTACTACGACTGCTCGAGGTTTGTACCCATAACAACAAATGTATTTTCTTTAACTCCTGAATATCTGTGATATCATTTCTTATTTATCACATTTTTTCCACGTGTGTATCCCAAAGGATAGCATTTTTTCTGAGGATTGGTTGTCCTGCGTGTTGCGTCTGTCTTCAGACATGTATCGAGCACAGTATAGCACTTACTCACGCTGTATGAATCTGAATATTGCATTCCACTTGACTGTCTTGAAATATGTACAGTAACACTGGCCGCTGGACTGTTTTCCCTTGTCTGTATTTGCTCAGATTTTAAAGCTTGTTAGTACATGCATGACTGCTGTACGTTTTCCTGTGTTGCCGTTCTCAGTTTTCTTATCACAAGAATGGACTCCATAGCTATGGTGGTGAAGCCATGGCATGTGTGCCACAGCAGACCGCCTGCTATCGCTGAAAGCTCTAAAAGGTTCGCCATCCCTGCTTTATGGCCAGACTTGTAAACAGAGCTGCAGTCATAGTTTCCACAGAGTGACTTTTAGAGGCTCTGTACACTCAGAGTCATACGATATGATGTGTCTACCCCTCTCATTCAACAATTACGGTACCCTGGTTTATTGCAGGGTGCTAGGTTAAATATAAGAAAATCGAACTTTACCAATTTAGATTAGTTCATTTTTGCTTGTTTGTTCTGAGAGAGGGTTTTGGTACACAGCGCAGGCTGGCCTCCAACTCACAGCCGTCCTCCCACTTCAGCCTCCTGAGTGCCGGGGTTTAAGGCCTGTGCCACCACGCCCAGCGTGTCAGTGTAGTTGTTTAGGCTCACATTGCAAGAAGCCAGGAACATTAAGACAAGTGACACAGTCCTCCCCTTAAACTGACAGTCCAGAGAGACACATGATTGCAGACATGATATACTGTAGAGACTTCAGTAGAATTAGTTTCCTGGTTCAGGGGTGAAGAGTGCTGAGACCTATATTAAAGATTTAGGAACCAAAGACGGGCGGAACAAAGCCTCCTAGGGCTAAAAACCGAGCTTCTAAAGAGATATGGTGTTTCCCTGTACAAGGCGTGAGGGTGAATCTGGGGAAACAAAGATGTACAAGTCATAAAATCCAAGGTGTTTTAGCTCAAATAATCCGAAACACAGTGTTTGGGACGGGGATGCTGGGTAAGTGAGGAGAGGCAGCCTCGGTGAGGCGCTGGGGTTGTGCACCGAGCAGCTTACACAGTGCACTGGGGTGGGGGTGGGTGGGAGCCCACACGGCCCGATACAGGGTTGGTAGTACTTTGGTGATTTTCTAAAAATTCTCGTTTGTATTTTTAGATCCCCCTACATATACTTCAGGGGCTATTGTTCTTTTATGCCTTTTAAAAGGTTTTTCTGCCTCATTATCTCTGAAATAATTAGCTCCTTGAGAATTACGTTGGCTGTCTTGATCTTCTTACCAAAAGAGCTTTGTGTTATTCCTGCCACCCCCACCGCCGTGTTGTAGGGGTAAAAGAGCGTGTGAAAGGACAGCGGACCCGAGGACGTTACAATACTTGGGATAAAGACCAGAAATTAGGGATGATTTCTTTTCTTATTTCAAGGTATCTACTGCAGCCAGCAGGTCAGGCCTAACAGCTATTGGAGGCAGTTTCCCCTGTGAAACTGAGCTAACTGAAATATCATTTGGTGCCTTTAGGAGTTCTCCTCACACTCTTTGAAGAGCGCGTAGGTAAAAATGTGGGTATTTGTTACTTGTAAGATCATCTGTATTTTGTCACTTTTGCATTCAGGGCCATAATATTTGTTCTTGGTAGATGACCTTTCCTTAACCGACTGCCTAGTAAAAATGGGCGGCAGAATCTGAAGATCCTGCAGTGTAGCATTAGTTAACTACTAAATAATACTTTCTACTACCTTGCAATTCACATGCTTGTTTTATCAACTAAATGTATTTGATTACTTAACACAACTTATAATTTTTCCTTTTGTTAAATATTTAGCAATATTTATGTTTCTATACATACAATATATATTTTTATATTTTTTCCTTTTGGTTTTGTCAAAACCAAACTACTCCTCCAGATTTGAGGCAGCTAATTATCTTCAACTGCTAAATGTAAAAACTTAATTGCTTTTTATTTTTCTTCTAGTCATCAAATGTATGCTGTGGAAAAACATAAAATGGGCTATCTGATAATGCTAGGTTTACATGTAACGCCGAGCACAATATGAGGAAGTGGTATTCTTATTAAAAGCACACTCAGAAATGCCTTTGTTTGTTGCCTTGGGGCTTATTCCCAACACTCAGGTGCTCTGCTGTAGATGTTTCGAAAATATTAATGAGCATCATTCCCTCTTCATATAAGATAATGATGTGTTTTGAAAGCTTGAAGGGAAAATGTGTATTGGGGGCGGGTTTCGTTACTTGCAAAATCTTACGAAGCAGCCCAAGGGACATCAGCTGTGCGTTCACTGGATCACCAGTGTCCACAACAAAGTAATCCCTCTGAATCTGATTTCCTAGAATTGAAAAAATAAAAAAGTGGGACAGTATAAACTTGAGTATATCTTGCTTTTTGTGTTTATTTTCTCCTTTTTAAAAAATATATTTCAAGTGTCTTTCCTGGTTGTTGTTTTGGTTTAATCTTGGGAAACAGTTGTCAACTCAAGACTGAAAGCCAGCTTCTGGACTGCTAGACCTGTCATAATAGTGAGCTGAACTGAGTGGCTTAGATACAGACATTTATTTTCTCACAGTTCCAGATGCTGGGTGTCTGAGGTGAAGGCGTCAGCGGGGTTGGCCTTCTGAGACCTTTTTCTTGGCTTGTGGACGGCTGTCTTCTCCCTCTGTCTTCACATGCTGTATTAGTACTCTCCAGAGAAACTGTGTGTGTGTGTGTCTGCGTGACTGCGTGTGTCTGTGTGTGTATGTGTGCATGTCTCTGTGTGTTTATGTGTGTGTGTGTGTATGTGTGTATGTGTCTGTGTGTGTCTTTGTGTGTTTCTGTGTGTATTTGTGTCTGTGTATGTGTGCATGTCTCGTATGTGTGTATATGTCTGTATGTATGTGTCTGTGTGTATCTTTGTGAGTGTGTTTCTCTATTTATGTGGGTCTGAGTGTATATGTGTATGTGTCTGTGTGTGTGTGTGTGTGTGTTTGGTGCTTGGGTACATGTGCAGAGGAAAGAAGAAAAAGACAGACTCTTGAGAGCAAGGGAGATTTACTTATTTATTTTAATTAAAGACTGGCTCACCCGATTGCGGAGGCTTTGGAAATACATAATCTACAGGTAGCAACCAAAGGCAGAGGTGCAGACACAGGAGGCGGTCTCCTTGCTTGAGAGGATTAGGCTTTGTTCTATTAAGGCCTTCAGTGGGTTGGATGAAGTCCGCCCATGTTATGAGGGCAATCTGCTTTATTCAAAGTCAGCTGATTTAAATGTTAATCCCATCTAAAAATATCTTCATAGAAGCATTGGCAGTAATATTTGACCAATTACCTGGGCATTAAAGCTCAAGCAAGTTGGCACATGAAATTAACCACCATGCGTGATCTCCTCTCTCACTTATCCATGTACAGATTTCCTCTTACATGCACTCTGGTCAGACTGGATTAGAGCCCTTCCTAATTAGTTCAGTTTAATTGAAGATCCCATTTCTAATTGTAGACACACTGTGAAGTAATGGGGATTAGAACTTCGATGTATGAATTTGAGGGTTATAGAATTCAACCATAGTGGTCATTAATGTAAAAGCAAGCACAAATAGAAAGGAGGCAATTTAAAAGAAAAATAATCTTCTTGTTACTAAAAGTTTATTATTTTCTCTGTCTCTTAGGATAACATATCTTTGTAAATCTCAAATAAAACAACTGAAATGGATAGTGATTTCTGCAACCTAGAAAACAATTATGTTTTTCTTCACCAAGTATATATGCATTATGACAATAATTAGAGATTAGGTTAAGAAAAGAAAAATATTTTAAAATTCTGATTATTTCTGAATTTTTTACAAGCTTTCATTAGGCACCTTTTATTTCAAATTATAATGTAATGTGTAAAATTTTGTTCTGTAAATTTATGAACTATTTTGAAAATAGAATTTCTGCTTTTTCTGGAAATTTAAGAAGTAAACAATAGAAAATTGGCAATAAAATTAGAGGGAAAATTATGAAGAGAATATAAATTGAGGGCAAATTAGAAATCACTTCCTCAGTAGTCCTTTCAGGTCTTGAGTGAGAGCTTGGAGCACCATCTCGTCTTTCACACCAGTGTCTTTGTCTCCTGTCTGGAAACCCATTTAGCAAAAGGATAAGCAGGCTTCCCTGCACTGAAGACGTGCTTCCGACTCTCCCTTTGCAGATCACAAAGAGCTGTTCTTGTCCAAAGCGATTCACAAGTCCTTCATAGAGGTTAATGAAGAGGGCGCAGAAGCTGCGGCTGTCTCGGGTACGTACGCACGCGTTTCCTAACGTCTCTGCTCTCCTAGATTTATAGTTTCGAAACCATCTCGGGACGGGGCGGAGATCATTCTCAAAAGCAAGCCAAGAATCGGACTCTGTTCTCAGTTAGACCACGAGCAAACGCTGAACCAGCCAGAATTTTCTACCTGGGATGTGCAGCGCATGCGCACTCCACCGCGCCCGCGCCGTGCGTCTCCCGTTAGCACTTTCCCACGGTGAGAAGCAGCGCACACCTGCAGGCCTGCGAGCGCAGACTTCCCTGCTGTGCTGCCGGCCTAAGGGCTTCCCTGCCGCTCCTTTGAGCGTTTCCTTCCTCTCTAATTAGTCTTCCAACTTGGTTCTTAATTTTGTTAATGAAAAGTTTTAATTTTTAAAAGCATAGACATAAACAAGACTATATAATGGATGTAATGAATACTTTTAACTGTTTTAAACAGAATGTTACTAGTAAAACCATAATTTTAAATAAATAATTTTTAAAAATTAAGCTAACCACCTGTCTAGGGTACCTAGTTAGCCGAGAATCCTTTCCCCCATGCATTTCCTCTCTTTTTATTTGTCTGCTTTTGCTTTCCTCCGAAGTTCAACAGCTTCCGTCCGATTTTAGTCGGAAGCACTTCGGTGAAGTGTTGGCTTATTCGCACACATCTTAAAAGTAACTTGTATTGGTACATAACGATCGCGTTCATCACGGGATTTGCACCTGCACACATTATACCTTATTTTTTCCCACTCCCCTCCCCTCCCCCAGCCCTTCTTCCCCTTCCCATTTCAGAACCCTTGTTCCGTTGTTCTCCTTTCTTGCTTTTCGGTCCCTGCCCGCTTCCGCCCCGCCCCCGTTCCGCGTGCGCGCTGCCTGCCCGCCTCCCAGCCTGGGTGCTCCCTCCGGCTCCTGTCATTCGGGTGGCTCTCGCAGGAGCGCCAGTGCGGTATCTAAGCACGGCCGTCCCATTCATCTCCCTGGAAAGTACGTTCTCCAGGTACATCCATGCACTAAAAATGTCTCAAATTTATCTTTCTTTTATGGCAGAGTAGTACTCCATTGTACGTAAATATCATATTTTCTTTATCCACTCCTCCGTCAGTGGCATCTGGGCTGTTCCCAAGATTTCGCTCTTACACGCTGCGCTGTTACAAACACGGGTGTGCATGGATCACTGTGGTGTGACGCTTTAACTCTTCCGGGAACACACCAGGAGGGGAATAGCTGGGTCAAACAGAAACCAGTTTCAGGTTTTTGAGGAGTCTCCGTACCGATTTCCATCATGGTTGCACCAGTCTACACTCCCACCAGCAGTGGAGAAGGGTTCCTTTTTCCCACAGCCTCCCCAGCATTTGTTGTTGGTTAATTTCTTGGCCTTAGCCATTCTTTCTGGAAGGACATGGAATCTGTGTTGTTTTAATTTGCATTTCTCCAATGACTGGTGATGTTGAACATTTTTTCATGTATTTATTTGCTGTTTGTATTTCTTCGTCTGAGAAGTGTGTATTCAAATCAGATGCCTATTTTTGAACTGAGTCTTTAAATTGGGGGTGGGTCTGATTTTTTGAGTTCTTTATATATTCTAGATATAGTTCTTTGTCTGAGGAGTTAGTAAGAAGCTGCTCCCGTTCTGTAGGTTGTCTTTTCACTGTTGGTTTCTCTTGCTGTCCAAAAGCTTTTTAATACAATGTCCAAAATACAATGTCCAAAAGCTTTTTAATCCCAATTTTTGGTTCTTTGTAATACTCCCTGTGTGATCAAGGTTTGTTCATAAAGCCTTTCCCTTCAAGAGTTCTACCTATTCTGTCTTCTAGTAGGTTAAGTGTTTCTGTTTTAATATTTAGATCTTTGATCCATCTCAATTTTAGTTTAGTACATATGGCTCGAGGTTTAATCTCGCCATGTGGAAAGCCAGTGTCCTCAGCACTGTTTGTTAAAGAGGCTGTGTTTCTTCCAGTGAAGGTGTTTGGCCCCTTTGTCAAAGGTGAGGTAGCTGAACGTGCCTGCAGTGCATCCTCTGTTCCGTAGATCCTCAGGGTTCTCTTTGTTTTGTTTTGCCAGTACCATGCGGTTTTTATCATGGGCACACATTATTTTTAACTGTACCAGTCATAACAGCATTTTCAGAAGGAAACAGACACACAGTAGTATCCAGTATGAAAAACATTAAAATATTGTACAATTTAATATTGACTTTTTCTGACAGCGAACCACATGGTAGCGAGTGTATAATAATCTTGCATATGACACAGACCTTAGGGGATTCAGTGCCCCACCTTCGGAAAATCACTGACTGCATCCTTCACTTTTGCATTCTCCCGTTAGTCACTGCCTCACTGATCAGTCACCATAACCCTGAAGATGTGCTATGCAAAAGCCTGCTTCAGTGAAAAGAAACAGCAACTTGAAAACATGAAGAAGCTGTCTTTATTGTTTGCCTTGAGGAGTTCTTTTCTTCTCCCCCTGTCTTAACTGAAAGGATGTTTTGAGGCAAGCACAGATATCTATCTTCAACTGAGAATACAACTTTTATAACAGACAGAATAAATTGTCTTCTCATTTTTGATGGGTTACAGGGAGGATATTGTGTGTAGTATGCTTGTTTTGTTTTATTTTTGAAAAGAGAACAAGTAGAAATTTTAATATCTTTACAATTTTTCTCTCTAAGTCTTTAGACTCATTTTCTGATGACTGCGTTTGCATTAAACGGATAGACACAAATGGTTTTGAGAAGCAGTCCGTTAGCCTCTGCACATCCACAGACATGTGATTACTGTCTCTCTGCATTGTAGGGATGATTGCAATCAGTCGGATGGCTGTGCTGTACCCTCAAGTTATTGTCGACCACCCATTTTTCTTTCTTATCAGGAACAGGAGAACTGGTGAGTGTTTTACAAGGAAGAACTTTAGTAAGCCTGGAAGAAACTTTCCCTTCTATATTGAGGACTCCTCCCACCCACTGTGCTTATTACATACCTTTTAAAGTTTGTATGATGTCGGGGAGCATGCCCGCTGTTCAACCCAGGGCCTTCACACTGAGCTACCTCCCCACCCCACCCTTCTTTCTTTCTTTCTTTCTTTCTTTCTTTCTTTCTTTCTTTCTTTCTTTCTTTCTTTCTTTCTTTCTTTTTTTCTTTCTTTCTTTCTTTCTTTCTTTCTGTCTCTTTCTGTCTCTTTCTTTCTTTCTTTCTTTCTTTCTTTCTTTCTTTTTCTTCCTTCCTTCCTTCCTTCCTCCCTCTCTCTCTGACTGTCTGTCTCTCTGTGTCTCTCTGTCTCTGTCTCTGTCTGTCTCTGTCTCTCTCTGTCTCCCTCTCTCTCTTTCTCCCTCTTTGAGACAGAGTCTCACTATACAGTTCAGACAGGCCTGGAACTCACTATGTAGCCCAGACTGGCCTCAGACTCCCTACAGCCCTAATGTCTCAGCGTCCCTGATGCTAGAATTACAGGCATGTGCCATCACATAGGGTTTATATTTTGAGACAGATCCTCTCTCAGTGGCTGAGTTGCTCAGGCTAGGCTGAGCTTGTGATCTTTATGTCTCAGCCTCCTAGTGTGCTGAGATTACAGGCATTCTCCACCATGTCCTCCTTGAATTATTTTTTCAAAAAGTAAAAATTGTCTTCATTTTTAAAACATTGCTAATTAAAAACAAGAAGAATAAGTAACCATTTTTTTCTTCACTGTCTTCCAAATGTATGCAGGTACAATCCTCTTCATGGGACGAGTCATGCATCCCGAAACAATGAACACAAGTGCACATGACTTTGAAGAACTTTAAATTATTTATTTGAGTAGCAAAGAAAATATTAACGAAGCACATTATGTTTGCAGCTGGTATATATTTATGATTTGTGTGTTACAGTAATATTTCAGTGTTTTAAGGTGATATTTAAAATAGCTCTAGATAGAAACAATATATGTAAATTATAAGTCAGCAATGTCAAGGAATGTTAGCAGTATTAAGGTAATGGTCCTGTTATGTCGTTGTGTTTGTTGTGATGTTATCTAAAATAAAAGTACGTACTGAACATGTGAACAGTGGTTTTTCATTTTAGAAATCGTAGAATACAGATACCTTTATGTTAAACTTGAGAACAGTGAAGTTTGTTTAGAAATCATAGCATACTTGCACCACTAAGTAAAAAATAGTGATTTTTTGACCTCTTAAGTCTTTCCTAATCCTGCAGGATTAAAGCACCACAGTAAGTTAGCAGTACGCATTTATACATAACAAGTAGTAACATGGAGGTGAAGACAGGTGCTCCACAAAAATGTGGCTGTCGTTTGTTTGAGACCCGTGTAGAGGGTCATGCAGGGCAAGGGCGTGGGCACTGGACATCTTTCGTGTGGCTCCAGGACAAAACTTGTTAGGAGACAGAGAGAGAGAACAAGCTACCCTAACCCTAGAGACATTACTTGTTGACGTATTTGCTACAGTACTATACTTTTTATTTGTTATTATTTTAGAGTCCACTAGTGTACATCTAAGAAATTTACTGTAAAACAGGAGTACCGCCTAGACGCCCGCAGCAACCTCAGGCTTCTCCTGTTCACAGCGTTGCTTTGTGTATCAAGAGGCCCTGTCCAGCAACAGACCTGCACCAGCCAGGCCGGTGTGAGAACCCTCTCTGAAGTTCTCATAGGATGACATCACCTCATGACATATTTCTCAGAACATACCCCACATGTTAAGTAACCTGTGACTATGCTAGTTGTCTAGATATGTTTAATTTATACAAAATTAGGTCAGTCAAAAGCATATTAAGTCAGCGCTCCTTAAACTGGTGATCCTAGTAGGTGGGGCCCAAGATTGTACATTTCTACCAAGCACCCAGCGGTGCCTTTGCTCTCTGTCACTTTGGTAGCAAAACTGCACTTGACATAAGATTTGAATATTTGATATTTTTATAAATGGAAACAGAAAGTCTATAATTTTCATAAAGGTTGGAGGGATTCTGGATGGGACAGTGAGCTGCACTGATAATGTAATACACTTGTCCAAAACAAAAAATGGTTTTACTCGAAAGTGGTTTTTTTTCTATTACGGACTGCAGATAAATGCAAAATTCCTCAACATATTAGAACACTTAAACTATATCCTTTAAAAATATGGAGACATTTATAGGCAACACCCATGAAAGAACTTATGGCTGAATGCCCAGGGAAACAATACTTAACACTGTATCTTTTACAGCTTATATTTTCAGAGGGCTTATAAATTACATGAATTTATAATTTCATAAATCTTATATTATTATAGAATAGTGCTCTTGTTTTCATTTATAATTTATGCAAGCTAGCCTAACTGATGTTAATTCAGTATTGATATTCTGAGTTTGTAATATTCTTTGTTACTATATCACTACCTGTTAAACATTACATCTATGACTATATCTGTATGTTCACTGGCCAACTCAATGTATTACCTAAAAGGAAGAGCAAATGTCATTAGACAATCATGTGGATTTTTTAGATGCCAAAATACAACTTTTATAGTTGACATAGGATTAAGTTCTATTATTCAGAATGTTTATCTTAAAATATTTAAATAACTTAGATGCCAGAAAATAGATGATCCCCATTATTAGCATGCTTATGGAATGCTTAAAAATAATGCTGAATAGCACCAAGTTTTTCTCCTTTAACTTTATTTTGTTTACAATTTGTTCAATATTTTTCTTTCAAAAAAGCAGCATAGTATATTTCAGCTGAATTTCCTTTAAAATGAATGTTGCTAAGTAAACATATACACACTTAGCATGAACAGTTTACCAAAACTTTGTGCACTTTGAATCTTTATATTTGAGAGAATAACAATAATTGTAGAATTTTGCTTTTATTTGAATCCTGATTTTACTTTTTTTGTGTATGCAGTAGGCTGGATTGAATAATTATAAAGGGTAGGATTTTACAGATTTTGTCACCACCACTAAACCAAATAGTTGTTAGAATCAGTCATAGAAATGTTTCTTTGGATACTGAAAAAAAGATGTTTTATGAAAACAATGAAATAAAGAGAAAACATGGTGAAGAACATATTTCAATCTTGTTAAGTATGTATATCATAATACCACAATTCATTGCTATTGATACATAATCAGCTTCTTGAATTTATAATGATACCCATTTTTCTCATTTGAAAGCTAACTTTTTTTTCAACTAGTATAGCCTAGCTGCTTCATTTACTTGAAAGGGTCTTTGGGCAGTATATAGGTCTTTGTTGTAGTCTAGAGAAAAGAAGAGGAATGACCATTTGTAATACACAAAATGGAGAAAGTGTGTAACTTTCCTGTCCTCCCAGAGCCTCTTTACATCACCGTCCATTGCGGAGAATCCATTTAAAGATGACAGAATGCGAGTTTCTTTAATTAAAAATCACAGGGGAAGGGCTTTTTACTTAAAAGACTTCATTGTAAAACTTCGCCAAGGTATGGACCCCATCAAAATATTCCAATAAAGTTTCAATGTTTATTTCCTTCTAGAAAATACATTTTTTAAAATGTACTAGATTAAAAAACATATTTTCAGTTTGGCTAAAATCATCATTAAAAAGAAATTCTCGACCCAACTTGGCAAAAACCCCAAATAGTTCTGCAGCTCTCCTCCTCTAGGAAATGGCGCATGGGCAGGAGTGATGGCAGGGGTGGTGTGGTGTCAGGGCGTGGGAAGAGACGCGTGTGAAGAGTTGCGTGAATACAGGCAAATCTAAAACTAGCATCCCGCAAATTTTCACCGTGGATATGTGGGCTCCAAGTGCAAGGGAGCCTCTCTTGACCCACGACCAAGTCACACATCCTTTGAAAAGGAGGTTAATATTTTTCTGCCGGGAACCTGAATCAGAAAGGCACTCCGTTACATTTCTATCAGGTTGTGTATCTGCGTGCGTGTGTGCACGTGCGTGCACGCACGTGCATGAATGTGCACGGGAGCATGTGTGCATGCGTTTGTGGACTTTTTTCTTTTCCTTTTAGTGTTTAATAGCTAAGTCTCTGCAGTGAAGACTTTTCTCCTTATCGTATCAATACATGAAAGTCTTTCCACATCCACCCGTATCTACTTGGAGGTAATTTGTGCTCCTCCAAGATGCTTCACAGTATTTATTCCAAAGCTCCATGAAGCCCATGTAGAGGAAAAGGGAGGAAACAGCTTATAATTAAAAAACATCAACCCCTCCAAATCCAAAGACCCAATCCAAAAATGGGCAGCTGAGATGAATACACACTTCTCAGATAAAAATACAAATGGCAAATAAGTACATGAGAAAATGTTCAATATCCTTAGTCATTTGAGAAATGCAAATTAAAACAACTTTGAGATTTCATCTTACCCAAGTAAGAATGGCTAGCATTAATAAATCAAACAATAACAAACGCTGGTGAGGCTGTGGAAAAACAGGAACTCTTCTCCACTGCTGATGGGAATGCAGACTGGTGAAACCACTGTGGAAATAGTTTGGAGATTCCTCAGCAAACTAGGTCTAGGTGTCCCATTCAACCCAGCTATTCCCCTTCTGGGTATTTTCCCAGAAGATCTGAAAACATCATATCACAGGGATATATGTGCACCCATGTTTATAGCAGCACAATTTGTCATAGCTAAATCTTGGAAGCAACCCAAATGTCCGACCACTGAGGAATGGATAAAAAAATTGTGGCATTTTTATATAACGGAATATTACTTAGCTATAAAGAAAGATAAACTCGAGGATTTATAGGTGAATGATCACAGTTAGAGACCATACTCATAACTGAAATAAATCAGACCTGCATGTGTAAGCAACAACATATTGTCTTACTAGTGTAAGACCGTAAAAGAGTGAATAAAAATTAGGAGGTATGATAGACATTGTGGAACGAAAGGAAAATGCTCAAAAGTAAAGAGCAACTGGGATGAGGGAAAAGAGAAAAGAAGGAAGGGGAAAACTATGTATATATGTATACACAGGATAGCTAACATAGTTGTATGACTGACGTATCACTTTATTGAAAGGAACAGTTAATGATTAATTATTTGATCTTGCATGTCTATATTTGCTTTCCTGAGTAACCACTTTGAAGTTATCAATATGTTTTTTTGGTTTTTTTTTTTTGGTTTTTCTCTGGTACCGGGAACCGAACTCACGACCTTGCACTTGCCAGGCAGGCGCTTTGCCGCTGAGCTAAATCCCCAGCCCCTGAAGTTATCAATATGTAATACAGCAACCACTGTTAATTTCCTGGCACCTTGTCTGTAATTCAGTATTGCTTGTATTTTTCTTGTGCTATTTTGTAAATAGATGTTTGTTTATTAATGTTTTCATTCTTTTATTTTTAAAATTAAAAAAAACATGAAACTCAGTCATACAGAGAGTCCCTGCTCGACAAGACACTTTCATGTTGAGAAATTCTCACTCAAGTTCCACAACTTTAAAATAGACCAAGAAATATCATTGCCATTTTAAATGGCATAAATTGAGGTTTACAACAACTAATAATCAAAAGTGATATTCAACTAGGTAGCAGAAAAGGAATTAAGTAATAATTTATTTAAGTAGATTGTACTATTTGATACACAGACAAAATTTACCAACCTTTACCTAGCAGGCATCCAGTTTATATGTGAATGAATACATGAGTGAATGTAACACTCTCTTTGCCACTGAAGAATTATTTTAAAAATGGCTTCCCAGCAAGCCCAACTGGCTAACGAGATTCAGAACAGTGACTTTTCTCTGTAGTAGGACACTACTACAGAGAAATAAAGGAAATTAGAAATAAAGGAAAAAGTAGGACATCAAAAGAAGCCCCAAAAGACCCTAAGCCAATTAAAATATCTGAAATGGTTGCTTTTCCTAGCTCAACACTATTTAACAAAGATTATATTTTGCATTATACCTATGTCATAAGACACAGAAAAGACAGTGAAAAGGGCAATATTGTTACAAACCTGTAGGAATAATTCAAGGGCAATCATCGGAATTTGGGGCCAGGCTTCGTAGCATTTCTTTTTACCACGTGTGGTAGTTTTGCAGTTCTGTTATTAAGTTAGAATAAGTAATGACATTAAGTTCTTAGGAAACATTTTGCTGTTTCTAAAAAGTTCTAAATTGCCACAACTTAAGAAATTTGCATACATGAAAGTTCATTTATCTTGGTATATAGTTCTGTAAGAGTTAAAATGGGTAGATTCATGGGACCTTCACAATCAAGGTAGAAAACAGCTCCCTCTCTTGAAAACGGGTCACTCTGACCCTAGTCACGTCTTCTTCCTATCTGCACCCTCTGGCAAACATTAATCTGAGCTGTGTTATTACGGTTTGCCTTTTCCAGGTGATATAAAGAGAATGATGCAGCGCATGAACTTTCAAGACATGCTACCCTGCGGTAGTACTTCTGAGGCCCATGGCCCATCTGTGTGCTCAGATCACATGGCCACTCGCGTTTATCGCTCGCTAGCGATGCTCTGTGGGAATACTGCATGAGTTTACCCATTCACCCATTGGAAGACATCTATGCTTTTTCTACTTGCTGGCAATTAGAAACAGTGCTGCCTCAAGTGTGTACACTTTGGTATGAAACTATATGAGAAGTTGTTTTCCTTGCTGTATTGTAACAGCTTTGGGATTACTGAGTCATATAAGTGTATGTTTAACTTCATAAAAGTCTGCTTAAGTGTCCATAGTGACTCTGCCACCTATTTGCAGTATAAAAGCAGCCCGGGTGATCTACATCCTTGCTGGCACTTGCTCAGGTCAGCTTGTGTGTGCGGATTTCTTGTGTGTGGGGAGGGTGAGTGGCTATTGTGAAAATGTGTGATAGTGTCTAGTTAGAGCGTAAGCGTGCTTCCTTCTCATAGCTTGACTTCTGTGGGGTTGGGTGCTGTTCCCGTGCTCATTCTTCACCCGCGCATCATCGTTGGTAATGCAGCTGATAAAACCTTTGGCTTATTTCTTTTATCAGATTATTTTGTAGTTGAGTTTAGAGATTCTTTTACATTCTAGTTTAGTCCTTCATCAAACATGGTTCATAAGTATGCTCTTTCACTCTACAAGCTTATCTTATTCTTTCAAGAATGTATTTCACAAAACATACTCTAGAAATATTACAGCATCGTTAGCTCAGAAGAAGCCCATTGTTTTAAAACTGTCTTATGGTGTTATCACACAGAACTCTGTCTAGCCTAATGTCAAAAGCTACTTTCTATGCTTTTCTCTTACAGTTTTATAATTTTTCCATTTAAGTATAAAATACACTTTGACTTTTTTTGTAAACGTGGAGTTTAGCCTGTTTATAAGCACGTGTTCAATTATTGAAATACTATCCTTTCTCTGTAGAATTGCTTTTCCAACCTTCTCATAAATGTTTGAGTGAATCTATTTCTAGTCACTATTCTGTTCTATCAATCTGCCCATTCCTCCTCTAATACTAGCCACACTGTGCTGACAGCTGCAGCCTGAGAGCTAGAGCGTGTGCCTGGCCCAACTTTGTTTTTCTCTTTAAGCTACCTTAGCTCTTTTGGTCAGCTTTCCTTTCCAAGTATGTTGTAGAATCTGCTCTAATTATCTGCAAGACACAAAATATAAAACTTCAAAAATTTTTCATGAGACTGTGTTAAATCTATAGAGCAATTTTAGAATTGATAACAGTATTAAATTTTCCAAGAAACACTAAAATTTTTTAAATGGAAATACTTAAATCAAGTCACAAAAATGATATGTATTTATGTTTGAGCCCTTGTTTTATATCTTAGGTTAGCATTATTAGTTTTTAGGGCATAGCTACTGAGCATATGTATCGTTGGATTTGTAATGAGGTATTTTATTCTCTGAAACTATTGCAAATGACACTTTTAAAACTTTGTTGGCAGCAATTGTTAATTTCTCATATGTAATGACTAAGTGTTAGACCACATATACAGTACTCTTAAATCCCTGTATTGTAATAGTTGGATAATTATTTGGAATTTCTATATATACTATTATGTCACCTCTGATGAGGGATCTTTTTCTTTTATCCCAATGAATACCAATTTTTTCTTGACATTTTAACTAGAACTTTCA